CCCCGGTGCGACGGCGCCGGACGGCGCTATCTTGTTATTCCGTCTGGTATCTGTTCGCAAGACAGTCAGCCCGGCTCGCCCACCGGCAGGAGGGTGCCGACATGGGACTGGCAGGCGGCCAGGTTCCACCAGGAAGCACGCCGTGCTTGCAGGCTGAGGGGATCGCTCTCTGAGCCGTAGGCCCGGAGGCCCGGAGCCCCGGAGGCCCCCGGCCCTGCTCCGCCCCACATCCTGCCGGACCCAAATCCGGCTCTCACAATCTCTGGTGGCACTGCGAGGAAGAGGTGCTGATTCCCCTTTGGCCTTCGGATTTCTGGAGGGAGAGAAGTGCGACAAAGAGGCCCCGGCCGCCGGCGCTCGCCCGGCGCTGCCCGCCCCCAATCCTCTTTGTATGTCTTTGGCGCCGCACGCCAACTTATCTCGTGACCCAACACCTGGCAGCCCGGGCCGGGTCCGGCGGTGCGTGGCGAGGCGAGGGGTGGTGGAGAGCGGAGGGTGCGGCGGGGCAGGGCGTAGCGTGAGGGAAGGGAGGCGTGATAGCGTGCATTGTTAACCGAGGGGATGAGCGAGCGGGGCGTGGCGGGGCGTGGCAGGGCGTGCAAACTGTCCGGGATGGGCTGGGCGGGCTGAGCCAGGGGAACTTGCTTCATACTGCGCGTGGTGATGCGCGCGCTTGGCGCTTCGCTGGGCGTTCAATAGCCCCGTCGCGCCCGGCCCGGCCGCCCCTGCTACAGCTACAACACGCTGGTGCCTGACGCGGAGTCCGATAGGGGAAGCAGAAGTTAGAACATAACCAGGCTGCCCTATTCGCCACCACGAAGTGCGCAGCGCATGCAGAGTCGACCGATGAGTCAAGTTTGGCCCCGCCACCGGCTTGTCAGGGGCTCGGCACGAAACAGCCCCGGCCGGGCCGCCCTCGGGGCCCCCAAAATGTTTACCCTCAAGTCCTGTAAGGTGCCACTCACGAGAGGTAATATACTGCGCAGCATTTCGCAAACGCGAACACGACGGGAAATAATTCGTCTCTCGTGAAAATACGATCTTTTGTTAACAGACTCGTCGCGTCATTTCTATGGCATTTTTTCCTCGTTCTCTCTTTCTTTCTTTGTCCAAACTTTTTGTCATTGTCCAGAGACTGGCAGGGCATGGGCGGGACGCACGAGGAGTGCAGCAGAGGCGGCAGGGCATTGCAGCTAGCGCATGAATAGACGGCGGAAAAATTTAAACAAAAGATAGCCAAAAGCTCGACTCTGCTAAAGAGAGAAGTTTTTGGAATGTGTCGTCTTAAAAGTGCTTCCACTTCCACCTACGCACTCTCGGTCTATTTCTTGTTGTTCGTAGGTGACACTTCGCAATATTTTTTTCCCTTAAGTAGTTCAATATTCGCAGTTGAATACGTTTTCCCGTCCCGTTCGCAGACGTGCAGACTCTCCGAGGCGGGGGCGACAGCTGCCCTGCCCCGCTGCGCCCTGCGCCCCCGGCTCCCATCCGCGCCATCGCTTTCTTCACGCCCACTGAGCCGCACCTGCCCGCTTCTCATATCGTCACCTGTCACCCGTATCGCTGTGAAAAATAAAAAAGAAAAAGAAATTGATCACAGAAACGAGTCGGAAACAATTTCTCTAATGGAGATCAATGCGTGTCGTGTCGTATGACAACCTCAGAAGAATAAATGAAAAACTTTTGTGTATCGACCCAAGTCGTTCGTTGTGATCACATCGCCCACACGGCAGGCAGTCATATTGATGGCCATTGTCTTCTTGACCTTTCCCAAGACGCCCAGAGTGTAGTAACGGGCACCGGTTAGATGGGCACGACAGAAGCATCCAGCAGGGATGTCTGGCCACATCTTGGGAATAGGGTTGCTGCTGGACGCTTCCCCGCTCTTCCCCTCCCCGCCCCGCAGCTCGATCTCGCGGACCCAATAACGCGTTCGCACGTCGCTGCGCCCCACGGGGAGGAGGACCCCGTCAGAGACTGCCGACTGTCCATGACAAGATAATCGAAAGGGATGCGGACGGGGCGCAGCGCAGCGAAGTCGGGCGGGGCGGTGCGGGGCGGTGCGGGGCG